GACAGAAGTATTGCGCGGTCCGCAAGAAGTGATCCAAGTCTTATTGCGGCTGAAATCTGCAACAAGTCTCGATGCCCCGGGGTCCATACCATCCGTAAATACTGTTTGTTCATCTGAAAGAGGCTGGTCTGTTCTGTTCGGACGTTGCCCAGTGAAGAAACCGATGACTTCCCTCAGGAATCGTAAAGTGCGTCGATTGGGCTCATGCTCACAAGAAATGGACCGTTCAGCAGAGGGAAAAGTTCACATGAAGGGACGAATCAAAGTTATGAATTTCGGGACGAAATGGATCAAGTTTTCGCGACGTCCTGTTCGCACCAGATACCATAAAAGCTACTACCCAAAGTGGGTTAATTTTCCAACTGGATTATGACCCGAAATACAAGTCTAAGCTGCTCACAAGGTGGTTCCATGGCAGCAACGTCTCTTTGCTGCAGTGGCCATCGCATTCCCTCGACTTGGATCCTATTGAAGATCTGTGGAATGAACTGGAACATCAAATTACATGACTGAGGGCTCACAAAGAGCACGAGAAGCTCGTTTAACAGGATATCGCATAAGAAAACATCCTCCAGGTGAAGATTGACAAGCACATTGAGTGCATGTCACGCCGATTCCAAGCCACAGTGGTATAGGCTTGTCGACAAAACGCTAATGCTGTTGTTGTTTTTGTTGTTATATTTGATGTTGAGCTGTTGATTTGAAAATTTATACAGATTAAAGCGAATAAATAACATGTGACATTGCTGTGTTGGCGTTGAAAATGTTCCACAAGAGAAAAATTGAAAATCTAAAATATTTTATAAGTTCCCTGCACAAAAATTTGCATTTGAGAAAATCATGGCGCATATTACTGCACGGCACTGTAGCTCTGACCAAGAGCGAGAAGATTACGAATCGCCGAAAATCACTATTCACGTGCTACCGCTCGCGCCGTCATGATGTTCTGTGGTCCGGCTACCTACCATCCTTTGCATCACGGTATCATCTTTGCTGGTGTCAGCACGACCAAACCAGGCGGTCTCTTACATGACGCACTATTCAGTTGCCGTGTCATCATATATAGGTGATTGTGATGAAGCGTCGCAGATTCGTAACCCGGCTTCGCAGCGATGACGGCACATCTTCCACAGACGCGAAAAATTTATATTGACGACGTCTACCAACCTGAGTTACACACACGCTGTCCCAGAACACTGCAAAGCTCGGAAAAGCTCATGGAGATACTACTCTAGAAATTGTGCCGTTGTCTCCATTGGTGGCTACTTTTCGATTCAACCAGCTCTTAATAAGTTACCAAACATGCTCGTTTGTAAAGGAAGACTCAAGGGACGTCAGCTCGACAACGGACACCTTCATGTACCAATCCTGTCTAAAGCTGGTGTCATAGTTCGCGATCCGTCGCGCGATTCGCGCGAATCGCAAAAATCGCAAGTGCCCATTTGAACATTTGAAACACTGAATATGAAACAAGTAGAATCATGAACAGTCGTCATTCAACCATCACCATCAAGCAGAAATGGCGGCGGGATTGGAGAGCACCTTGCAGTATTGATCGGGCACTTGTGATTTCTGTGGTCCGTGCGAATCGCGCGACGGATCGCGGACTCTGACACGGCCCAACGATTCCTCCTCATTAATCGTTATCAAAGTTGAAGGGAAGCCTCGCGTATCTAACACAGAGCCCACTCGAATCAGTAAGAGGCCAAGTGTTGTGTCGAATCAGTACACACCCTTTTGGAGAAGAACATTCCGTCCTGCTCCATCGGCGCCATAGCGATTTAGAAGTATCAACAACGGCTTCCTGAACAGCCATCCGCTCGCATTGGAGCCGCCTATAGCCGTGGATTCTGTGCAGGGACATCTCTTCTCACGACTCGAGCTCGCTGGAAGAAGCCTTCGGCAATTGCTGGAGGCCTGGAACGTACGAACGTCACGTTCACTCACTGCCGTTATGGCTTATTCATTTTGGGGCATGTTACCGCACTTCGCTCTCTTTCAAAACCTGCGCGCTTATTGGGGTTGCTGAACGGAACGAACATCAGCCGTTCGTCGCTACCGGACCTATTCTTTAGCGCAAAACTGATTTCTCTGATTTATCTCGCGGTTCCTCATAGAAAGGGAGTGCCGAGTGAGAGCTTATGGGTCTTAGGAGCTCTTCGACCGTCACGCAAACACCGGGTCGGGTAAACTTCGCCACTGCTCAGGAAGGTGGATTTGATGTGAACATCTCATCAGGAAAATGCAACGGGTAGTACCAGGCGACGTGATGTTGCAGCCTGTTAAAAAACGAGCTCCTCTCACTGATTTGAGAAGAAAATGACTTCATTCTTCTTCTGCTCCGCTGGGTGCACTGTTAGAAGATTTTTCGTAAAGGTGCTATTGTGACACCAAGAAGACTTCGTAAACAACCGCGAGAGCCGATGTTTGAGCGCTCCCATCTCCCGCCAGCTTCAAGGGAACTTCCACTTTTTTTGTGA